CATAAGGAATAGCATGGAGGACATTAGGAGACAGAAAGGAAAAATGAAGGGGGGGGAATCAGAGGGGGAGATGAACCATGAGAGATTATGGACTCTGAGAAACAAACTGAGGGTTTTAGAGGGGATGGGGGTGGGGGATGGGTTAGCCCGGTGATGGCTATTAAGGAGGGCACATACTGCATGGAGCACTGGGTGTTATATGAAAACAATGAATCATGGAACACTGCATCAAAAACTAATGCTGTAATGTGTGGTCACTGACATAACAAAATAAAATAAAATCGAGGGTTTTAGAGGGGAGGGGGCTGGGGGGATGGGTTAACCTGGTCCTGGGTATTAAGGAAGGCATGTACTGCATGGAGCGCTGGGTGGTATAAGAAAACAATGAATCATGGATCACTACATCAAAAATTACTGATGTATTTTATGGTGACTAACATAACAATAAAATAAAATTAAAAAAATAAAGATTTTTTATGTATTTGAGAAAGGGCGAGCGAGCGAGTATGAGTGGGGTGAGGGACAGAGGGAGAGGGACAGACTCCCCACTGAGCAGGGAGCCCAATGAGGGGCTTGATTCCAGGACCAGGAGACCATGACCTGAGCTGAAGGCAGACGCTTAACTGACTGAGCTTACTAGGCACCCCAGAACTCAAACTTCTTGCATGATAATCTAACAGAGTGTTAGAATAAACCAATATTCTAAGATCATTGATAAAAGATTGAAAGCAATATTCATCACTGATTTAAAAAAAACTGAGTGATATACATGTCAGAGGAGATTTGAATGTCTGATGGTGTGTCCATATAAATGATATTCTCAATCTAATTTACAATTATATTTGTAACCTAAAATGATTTCCATAAAAACTTGAGAAAATATAATCACAGACTTATCAGAGAATGTTTATTTTGTTCTGTGGTTGCTTCTGGGGGTAGGGCTTGTGTAGGTGATATGATTTCTTTATCTTTTTCAGTATTGCTTTAATTTTCTATTTATATATGGGTTCTTTGCAATCAGAAAAAAATTGACTTTCAGGAAAATGGTGCAAATACTTGA